ATAAAATTAATGATAAAGATAGAAATCTTAGATTACGTATGCGGATGATGTAATGAAGGCAAGAGTAAAATTACTTAAATATGCCCAACATTTTTCATGGTACAGACGTTACTAGAATTTTTAATATATTTGCTTTTAATTATTTTAAAAAGCATACTTCTTTCTTACATGTAACAACAAAATTGTAGAGATAAAAATGCAATTCTTCTTCTTCTTCATGATGTTCACCAGCATGGCTCTCCACAATTTCCTGTCCTTTGTAGCTCTTAAAAAATTTTGTCTCATTTGTTATCTCTCCCAAACCCAGTTCTGTCATCCACTTACTCAAGCTCTCTAGGTAGGTTACACATTGTTTATCCCTCTTGCACTGAATCTATCCTGTGAGTATCAAATTTTTCAAACCCTCTTTCCTCATTATGTGCCCTAGAAATTTCAATTGTGTCTTCCTGATATTAAGTGTAAGTTTCCTTTTTGTTTCCAAATTCTCTAAAACTTCATCGTTGCTCACATGTTCAGTCCATGGTATTCTCAGCATCCTTCTGTAGAACCACATTTCTGTTACTTTAAGTCTTTTCTTCATCTGTGAGGAGATTGTCCAACATTCACTGCCATATAGGAAGATTAATATTACGTAACAATTCATTACTTTTTCTTTGTTTGTAATGAGATTTTTCTATTTCTTAATACTTTGCTTAGCTTCTGGAAGGCAATTTTCACTATCCCATTGCCCTTTCTGTTTTCAGTGTTGTACCTTCCATCCTCTGTTAAAATACTTCCCAGATAATTAAATTGTTATACTTATTTGATTTTGGTATCTCCAATTGGTAATTTGTATTCTGGACTGCCCCTTTTGCTAACTTAAAAAAAAAAAATTCATTATAGTCTTATTTCATTCACCCCAATGTCAATTCAAAGCAACATAGTGGTGACTTTAGGAAAAACACATTAAAATAAAGGAAAAAGGGCAGAATTATATCCCTAGCTTTATTTTATAACTGGGGCTTACAGTGACATCACAATGTTCCCATATAAACAGTGAAGTTAAGCAACATTGAGCTTGGTCAGTAGCTAAATGGGTGACTGCTTGGGAAGACTGTGTGCTGTAATTTTAGACGTGCAGCAGGTGTAATAGCTCGGAATTGTTAATTGGAGAGCAGAGTTCCAATTTCAGTTGTGCTGTTATGTCCACTCATACACATATACTCTTGGGAAAGTTAGGAATCCATCTATTGGTTAATGAGTAAGGCTATTATCACTAATTCATCATTATCTCAAAAAAAAAAAAACAAACAAAATCTTACAATCTAAAAATATTTTCTGGCTTCAAATAACTTGCAAAGGGTCAATAAGCCATAGAAAACGAATCCGTCAATGAAATACTGATTAGTCACACAAGCATATATTTTAGATTTATTTACATTCTCTGGAATATAAATGTATAGAAATCACCGTGGTCAAAAGTGAGGGATGTGTTTACATGTCAGTTTTAATATAAAATTGATCCCCCACTTTATATCCACATTAAAATTTCTTGTTTGTTGATAAACCGTAGAAAACGAATCCGTCAATGAAATACTGATTAGCTACACAGGCATGTCTTTTTATATTTATTTACTTACTCAGGAATATAAATGTATAGAAACTACTGTAGCCACAAAGTGAGGGATCAGTTTATATATTGATTTTAATATTGTTATGGCGGGTGAATTTTTTTTTTCTTCCACCGTATGAGTTCGAATCCTAGTCGCCAAGTTGTTATAGAGTAGTTTCACAGTGGAGGCTTGTATTTCACTAAGTCGGTCCTAAAATAGGTTCGACGTACAAAATGTTAGGAACTTGATATAATAGTTAATGACACAGCAATCTAGTTGTGGTGGCTGATACTTTAATATCCGAATAACGGTCGTCCAACATCAACTGATTGACCGACTTTCTGAGCCCACTTAGCGACTGCTACTACTCCTACTTATTATAGGTGGGAGAGTCTATTAACAATAGAATAGGTGTGTTCCACTATAACAAATATAGAAATGGTCCCCCACTTTATATCCATTTTATAATTTCTTGTTTGTTGATATGCCACAGAAAATGAATCAATCAGTCAATGAAATACTGATTGGCTACACAGACATGTCTAAGATTTATTTACATTCTCTGGTATGAAAATGCATAGAAACTACTGACCACAAAGTGAGGTGTCAGTTTATATATTGTTTGCAATGTATAATTGAGCCCCTACTTTATGTCCACATTATAATTTCTCGTTTGTTTATCAAATTCTGATCAGGCATGAATCCACTTCATACCACCCCGCAGTTATGGGTTAATAATACTTATATCACAAACTCATTATTATATATATATATATATATATATATATATATATATATATATATATATATATATATATATAAATAAATTCTTACAATTATATATATATATATTTTCTAGCTTTTAAATAACCTGCAATGGTTTGATAAGCTGTAGAAAACAGATCAATCAATCATTTTATAATTGTAAAAAACAAACAAAAAATTTACAAGAAAAATGGTTCACTGGGTATCTGTTGACAGATGGAACCATCATAGACTTTTTTTTTTTTTAATTACCTCCAATTCAAAACAACTCAATGTAGAATAGAACCTCACAAGCAAATGAAAAAATTACTTTATTTTATAAATGTAAAGAAACAAATAAAAGTGGATGAATCTGATCTCCAGAAAGTTAGTGGCTTGGAAATTAATTTATAACGCAAACAAAAATTTTGAGGACAACATGTTTTTAGGTCATAGGCACAATTAAACAAAACAGGAATTGCTTTTAGGTCAGACTTCAATGCCATAAGCTGATCTGTTTAAATAAAAAATACTTGAAAACAGATTACTTTCAGTTTAGCTATTTAATAAGTTCTTAGCTTGCAAGAATACTGAACGAAATTTGTCTTTCGTCCTGCTATTCACTATTCTTATTCCAACAAAGAGGAGTTATTCCAGTCTTATTAAAAGTGAATTTTTCTTTTTTTTTTATTTTTTAATTTGAAAAATTCATGATTATTCAAAACAGTCTTTTATTGGGTTGGTGCATAATTATCAGACGTTTTTGTAGGTGAGTTATTTGTTAATAAAAATTGCTGTTTTGTTTACTTTCTTTAATAAATATATTATTTTATTTTCAGGTTATAATCATACGCTCTGGAATAATCATTTAAAAATGTTATTGTTGAAATGTTATGTTTCTTTTTTTTATAATAAATATTGTTTGAAATGCCTGATAATTATGCACCAACACAATATATTGATTATGCTTTTAAATTCTGATTCAGGATATGAAGTGGGGTAAAAAAAAAAAAAAAAGGGTGTATGTTCAAGTAAAATACATTCAAGAGAGATTATTAATCAGCATATGAAAGTCCTTTGTTAGATATTTTCCATCCCCAAATCTTTCCCTGCGTTATTGGTAGGGGACCTAAAGCACCAGTTATTCGCAAGTGATCATCCATGTATTAACCAGATTCAATGTTGCTTAACTTGATCAGATGAGAATTGGTGTTTCAACATGACCAAGAGACAAAATTTCAGAGATTTAAACGACACACAAAAAAAAATTAAATAAACCAAATGGAAAGAGACTAATCAAGCAAAGAATTGGAATGAGCAAAGACTTTTGTGTTATATTCTTGAACTGATTCCAACCATATCAATTAATATAAGAGTTACTCAGATTTCAGGCTCTCAGAAATGGCTTTTCCATATTTACAAATGAGAGGGTAGAATTCAAATAATTCTAAAGTCAAAATGAATCTTACGAAAGAGATATCCTGGCACCTAATATCCATTTAAAAAGAGAAAAAAAGTAATATGGACATAAAATGAGGGAACCGTTTTGTATTTCATTCTACTTCATTACCCATTTTTTTAAAATCATTTCATCCAAAGTAAGGTGATAAAGGCTACTACAACACAAGGAGTTACTGAGTGTGAAAGAATATGAGAAAAAGAAAACCACTATTAAGGAGAAAGAACAATAAAAGAACAGGAATTAAGAAAAGAGAAGTTGACAATTGAAAATGCGTTTAAATTTTTGAAGATCTAACTTGACTGGAAGGCAAGAACCCAGAAAAGAGTTCCACAAGAGAGAAATGTGAGAGAAGAAATTATTAGCAAGGTACCAAAGAAGAAAATACATCAGAAAAATTACCATGAAAATATTTGTAGAAAAGGCAAATGGAAGCTCACTTGCAGTGATGAGAAATGGACAATATATATATATATGTCTAGAAAACCGGAAGTCAAAATGGCAACAATTAAAAGAAAAGAGAGGAAAGGTTAAGGAGTGAATGTAAAGTGAAAAAAAAAGGACAAATAATCACAACATACTACATGTATACACATACACTATGGAAAAAAAACTTGCTCCAATGAAAAGTGCATATAAAAAGAAAAATCAAGAAGTACAAACAGTTAATTGCTGTTACCCTGAGGAGTGGACAGAGTGATTCTCAAAGTGTCCCTTACAAAACTCTGGTGTCGAGATGCTGAAAGTAACATTAGCTAGGTGACAAACCTTTTACTTTTATTAATTTTCTCTCTTTATATATCTATATATATATATTTGTAAAGCCAAGGTACAAGTTGCCTTACATTATATTCTTCTTCTGATTTGATTTAAATTAACAAAGCACCTCATTAGGCAAATATATCAGCAAGAAGGTTTGTAGGGATATTTGTAAATGAAATGAAAACAGTAAAACAGATAACAATAATATGATACAAGCTGAAATAGAATCTTTCATACAAATTATTGTTGTAAACTGAAAATGATTTCACACTTTCTCTTTGTGATTACAATGTCTGTAGGTTGATCATAAAGATTCCCTTGATTTTCTATCAGACTCTCTGCATAGTGTTCAGTTGATTCTGTAAATAAGAATCAAAATACTTCAGTCATGTTCTGTGAAGGCCACAAATGCCTAAAGAAGGTTGACAGAGGGCCACAAATGCCTAAAGAAGGTTGACAGAGGGCCACAAATGCCTAAAGAAGGTTGACAGAGGGCCACAAATGCCTGTAGAAGGTTGACAGAGGGCCACAAATGCCTGTAGAAGGTTGACAGAGGGCCACAAATGCCTGTAGAAGGTTGACAGAGGGCCACAAATGCCTAAAGAAGGTTGACAGAGGGCCACAAATGCCTGTAGAAGGTTGACAGAGGGCCACAAATGCCTGTAGAAAGGTTGACAGAGGGGCCACAAATGCCTAAAGAAGGTTGACAGAGGGCCACAAATGCCTGTAGAAGGTTGACAGAGGGCCACAAATGCCTGTAAAGAAGGTTGACAGAGGGCCACAAATGCCAAAGAAGGTTGACAGAGGGCTACAAATGCCTGTAGAAGGTTGACAGAGGGCCACAAATGCCTATAGAAGGTTGACAGAGGGCCACAAATGCCTGTAGAAGGTTGACAGAGGGCCACAAATGCCTGTAGAAGGTTGACAGAGGGCCACAAATGCCTAAAGAAGGTTGACAGAGGGCCACAAATGCCTAAAGAAGGTTGACAGAGGGCCACAAATTCCTGTAAAAGGTTGACAGAGGGCCACAAATGCCTGTAGACGGTTGACAGAGGGCCACAAATGCCTAAAGAAGGTTGACAGAGGGCCACAAATGCCTGTAGAAGGTTGACAGAGAGCCACAAATGCCTAAAGAAGGTTGATAGGTCACAAATGGCAGATTTTTTCCCTGTTACAACAGAAACACAGTAATTGGGAGGTTCAATCACTTGGCCTGGGAGTACAGACTCAGATTTAGTTGAAATAGAATTAGCAATAACAGAGCTGATGAGATACCTGGAACAATATGGCCAGAGGAATGAAAACAGCAGATTAAATAAAGGGTTCAGTTTAAAATTCCCTGAAGGTTATCCAGACTCAGATCTTCCAGTAATCACAATGAACGGATGTTCCCTCAAGGAGACCAAGTGCCTATTCGGACTTAAACTCAGCCCAGACCTCATATGATCCATTGCTAAGGATGCTGGAAAAATGGTCAGCTTCTTGTACCACTCCAGCAAGAACCTGACTCCTCTTGCTATCCTATTCCGTTACAAGAGCCAGATTAGGTGAAAAATGGAGTACTTCTGCCATATATAGGCAGGAGCTGCCAGTCTTCACTTTCCACTCTTGATAGAGATCAAAAGCATTTCAAGTGTCTTTTTAGGTGACAAATTTTCCACCCTACAATTTCTTTCTCACAGATGAAACATCACAAGCTTTTTGCTGTTCTGTCACTATTTCCATGGGAAGTGCTCAGATGAACTACACTCCTTAGTTCCACCAATTCTAACCTTCATGTCTAAGACCTGCTATGCTACACATACTGTAGTGAACCACCCTCATCCATTTGTAAACATTTGCTAAGAGCAGCTTCATCCCACAACCACTACCTTGTGGAAAAGTCTCCCAAGAGGTTGCTTCCCCAATCACTAGAATCTTAACCTGTTCAAGTCTAGGCTTAACCATTATTTTCTACACATATCCACCTGAGCTATGCCTCTTAATCTGCAACCCTCTTGAGTGGCCCTCAAAACCTGTACAGGATTAACACCATTATAAATAAACAAAGATTAAAAGATACCTAAAGAAAGCTAGAGAATACAATGGCTGATGTGTTGTAATAACAAAAACTAAGATGAGGACATTAGTCTGACTGTAAATAATGTAAATATTGATATCGGTCAAGGAAATAAGTGTAACTTAGATGTGGCACAAGGCCGAAAGTCAAGGTCACCTACTGATGATCAAACTCACTACTCAGTAGTAATAGTTCTAGCGAGACAAGATTGCTAATCTTTACACCACCTCGAGATGCCCCTGATTAAGGAAATATGTGGAATAATGGTAATGTTAATATTAGCCTTTACCTTATAAGGAAACATCCAGTATTCCTTGACCGAGTAGTCAGTTCTACTCAAGTTATGCTTCTCTTTATTCCTTGGACATCAGGCTGGGATCAAAGTGTAGTATCTGTTCTCCTTATCTATAAGGTAATGGTAATATTACTTATTTCCTTATAAGGAAACATTCAGCATTCACTGATTAAGCAGCCAAGTGCTATTGTTGGTTGAAAAAGACCAGTTATTGTCATTGCTTTTTACAATATTGATGGGGGCTTTCTTCAACTACTAATACTAGATATAGACTAAACAGAATGGAAGAATTTAGATATGGGCTTAGAACTGTCAGTGGTGACAATTACCAAATTGACAGTATGATATGTGAGTCCATCTTATCCTAAGCTATTTCTCAGTTCCAAATTCTTGCAATCTCACTTGAAAGGCAATAGAATAAAGATGAAGCACAAGTCAAAAACTGTGTAGAATAATCTGCTTAATATAACAAGATGATGATGTCACATAGACATCAGGAAATGAATTATGGACCTTGTAGGTCACAGGTCTAATTCTTCAGCTGAGCAGATAATATTGAAATCTGTGTTTATGCTGAAATGGTGTCAAGCAAGGCAGTGTGTAACGAAAAGTGAAAAGAACCTTGTCTTTTGGAAATAAATACGAAAGAAACACATGTTGAGATATCAGTGCAAAGTTATGCACACATGTCTTAGACATTATCAAATGGTGCTGGTGATTACTGATAGACTGAACCTAAAATTTCCCAGTTTTCAAATTATATTACCAATAAACAAAACTTGTTACATGGGGTTACTGTGCATCTTTGTTGACAAACTATATTTGAACAACACTCTTTCATTTATACAGGGTTTATGAAAAAAAAATTAAAGAGATTAGAAAAACTGAATAAAAAATTTATAAGATTTTTCCTTGTCTGTTACATTCAATGAAACTTATATATACAGAGTCTGACAAAAAAATAATGTTTACACATTTCAGGAAAGGAAAAGCTTGTCTTTCATAATGTTTAGATTTTTACCTATGGGAAACCATAAAGGATATTGTATATCACAGAAAACTGTTTACAAAGGTGGCCCTTAAGCATAAATTGAAAATACATGTGTAACAATCCCACTGGACACTTTGGCCAACATTACCCAAGCTGTAGTTTGCTGTACGAATAAATGTCTGGAAGCTAAAGGCCACCATTTTGAACATCTCTTGTGATTGTAGAGTCCAAAGGTAACTTGTATTAATCTCGTGATGTCTGAATAAATTTAGTATTACAATATCTATATAAGTTTTTCCTTTTCTGAAGTGTGTATACATTTTTTTGGTGGACTCTGTATGCATATTTCTACAGAATTAACTGCTTTATTTTTAGTATGACATTTTTATTATGGTGGATACTCTGTATTTAAAACAGACACCCCATTTTTATTTACTAAACAATGTGTATTACATCTTAGTCAAGAAAAATGCATAAGACAGGTCCTGTGACTCTCAAATTCGCTAAACCCTCCTTCCTCATTATGTGTTGCAGAAATTTCAACTGCCTTTCAGATTTTAAATACAAGTATACTTTTTGTTTCCATTTTCCTTAGAACTTCCTTGTTTCTCAAATGCTCTATTCATGACATTCTCAACACTGTTCTAGACAACCATATATCTGTTACCTCAAGTCTCCTTTTCATCTATGAAGTAATTGTGCTGCATTCACTGCTATATAGCAGGAATATTATACAGCAGTTCATCACTCTTTTCTTTATTGAAGTAGTTTTACATTTCTTTTATGTGCATGTTTTCATAAAAAAATTTATTCTTGCAGACTACTTAAAAGTTGGTTAATATGAATATTTTTTTCTTACACTGTGAAATTATATTTTAATCAACTAATAAATTTCATTAAAAAAAAATTACAACAGAAACAAATAAATTCTTTAACACGCCAACTCCTAATTTACTGGTCTGCCTCTCGTGTGAGGTTTTTGATACAAATATCAAAACTTGGTAGCATTTAATTAGCTGACAAATTTCATTTTACAAAGACAACTGCCATTAAGTTAGAACCACCTCACTGAGGTTACATCTGAAAAATAACCAAAGCGCAAACACCCTTCTAAAAGACAGGTTGAGACAAGATTCACTAACATTAAAATAAAACAGTGTCACATGACCTTGACTGAATGAGAATTAAACAAACCAAAATACCGTTAAGGAGGGACATTTGAATATGTCACTGGGTCATCAACCGAGATACACCCACTGAGCTGTTTGGAGGGACTGACAGAATAAAGCACTAACATTAAACACTGAATCCAAATGGAAAAGATTGAAGAATTTGAAATGCTTAACAGTTAGACATGATAAAATTTCAACTTGATTATAAAAAATTAATGTGTGTGGTCTGTCCTGAAATGATCCAGACATTTAATACTAATGACAAGAGAGCCTACCTAGGGCAATGAGGCTGTAGTCCTCACTAAGTTAACTTTAAGACCTTATAGATTTGTTTGGGCATCAATTTTTTTTTAATAATCTGCAAAATGTTTTTGTTGGGTGACCATCAGCTACCGCATCCCATTCCCCTTAAACTTGTCCAGTTTGAAATCTCCTCCCATGATAGCCAGAAGTCACAAGGAGCCAAATTTAAACTGAAAGGAAGTTGACATGATATGGATTATGTGACGTTTTCCTACTAAGTACAATTAAGGGAATCTTACTGCCAACAGAGTAACCCCAAGGGAGAGTGTTTGTTTACACATGCATATTAAGATAACTTTTAACTAGGTGCCAAGCTACATAAACACCATGCAACTGGTTCTTGAGATATTTAACATAGATTTGATACTTTATAAACAGACCTCATACAAGTTCATTTACAACCATTATTGAAGGAGGTCTAAACAATACAATAAAATAAAACATTTGAAATTAATCTATATTTATGTATATGACTGTATATAAGGTGAGACCTACCTTATGGTTGGGACATTCTCATATTTAATATTTCCTTGTTTGAACACAGATAAAAGCCAGGATGTTGAATACAGAATTTCAATATAAGAAGGCCCTACCCATTAAAAAATTGGCACAGCGTAAGTTTCCTATTCATATAAAAATACTATCAGACAATGAAATCCCCACATTGTATTTTGCTTCTGGCTGCCAAAGTGCACAACACTGGGAAATGTTACGCAAGGGAACAGAAGATGAAATCAACACCATAACAAAAAAATGAAAAGAGAAACCCTATTTTCAAGAATTTGGTTATTTATATGAAAATCAATCCGGGAAGTGTTTTAACAGCATGTACAGACAAATCAACAATGCATAGTGACATTTACACAGTTTAAGCCATAATTGTTTGTACAGAAAGTAAGGACCTGCATACATTAAATTGTCTTTAAATTAAGTGGTGGCAGCAGAATTATCACTGAACTTTTAAACGGTAAACTGAAATATTAATGAAATACTTAAATGCAGCAATCAATTCTGAGTTCTTCTGTAGTTTATTGTTGCCTATTGTATCTACTCCTCCCTACCTAATGTGATGAAGGCCCAATCAAGAAAACTCTGTAGGAGCTAGCTTAAATACCACCCAGCAGGGCTGCTTTTAAACTAGTATATATGTACATAATATAAATATATATATATATATGTATAACACAAACATAATATATATATATATATATATATATATATAAAAACATAATATATATATATAACACAAACATAATATATATATATATATAACACAAACATAATATATATATATATATATATATATATAACACAAAATATATATATATATATATACAAATATAATATATATATATATATAATATATAATATTATATATATATATATATATATATATATATATATAAAACAATATATATATATATATATATATATATAAACATATATATATATATATATATATGAATAATATAAACATATATATATATATATATATATAACACAAACATAATATATATATATATATATATATATAAACAAAATATATATATATATATATATATATATGTATAAAAATATATATATATATATATATATATATACATAAACATATATATATATATATATATATATATATATATGTAAAATAAACATAATATATATATATATATATATATATAATTTATAACATTTGGAATATTTATTTGAATACAATCTATATATTTTTTTTTATATCTTCAATTTTTACACACACATTATATATATATATATATATATATATATATGTGTGTATAATATATATATATATATTGTTTAACAGGTGTAATATTGGAGGAATCGAGACTTTTATCATACAGTCTCAGTTACGCTGGACTGGTCATGTCTTGAGAAGGTCTGATGACAGGATACCCAAGAACCTAATGTACAGCCAGTTAGATCAGGGCTACAGGAATGTAGGACGCCCATGGTTAAGATACAAAGACAAGCTGAAAAGCAACATGTCAGCAGTTAATATATCACATAACACCCTTGAGCGCTTAGCTTTGGAGCGGGTAGAATGGAGATCAACGTGTTTTAGTGGACTCAGCAATTTTCAATCTGCTTGTCTGAATCATCTTCAAGAAGCAAGAACAAGATCTAAAAGGTCAGCCAATATAACAGTGATCTCATCTCACAATTCTCACACCTGCTCCATATGTGGCCCCCTTTGTAAATCACTAGCGGGTCTTAAATGCCACTTAAGATTATCACATAATCTTTCATAACTAAATCAATAAGCTGGCAGATCCTCATACGTCAAAACTGACGGGAGAGTCCATTACATATATATATATATATATATATATATAGGCATACACACACATTCACACATATATGAATACATATAACACATATTATACAGCTATATTCACATTATACTTACAATTATATATTCATACATGTACGCCTATCCATAAAATATATTTTAAAAATATATATGTTTATTTTTTTATAATAAATATATATAGCATATACATGTAGGGTGGTGGCAAGTACTGAAATCAATCTGCTGAAAGTTTTTCAAAAGATTAATTTATGTCTACACATGACCATTAATTCACTTCTTTTATTCGCTAAATATGGGTCATCTTGATTTTTTACTATTCCTTTTTTTAAAACAAAACCCAGGAATGTCTACTCAAACATGTGTAATGACTAAATATGACATTTGGATGAATGGCTGGCTACTCGTATACAAAGATGTCCATTTACTAGTGTGTCTAGATAATCACTGTTTCAGATGCCTGATTAGGCAACATATATGTTTGTTCAACATCCACAGATTCTACCTGTGGTTTAAACTGCAACTATACTGAGCAGACTTTAGTTACAGTTTCTGGGAGAGAGTGTGTTATCTATCATGATCAACAGTCTGAACAAGGCCAGTACGCTCAAACCCTCGGTCACATTGACTTGTGACTTTGTGCTAGCACAGACATTGATGGCTCCCAAAGGGTTCTATCTACTTAATTATGTTAGGTTTTCAGGCACTTTCCAAAGGTGCTGCATGCTGAGATGGTCTCCTCCAGACCGACAGCATCAAAAAATCACCTTCTTCATAGATTGACTATGGTGAGATTTGAACCCAGACCTCATGGTCAGAAACTGAATGTTCTAACTACTTGAGCATATGCCCATTAAATGTAACATTTATAGTAATAAGAAATGTCAAATTAAAACAAATTGCATGAATTTATCTTTGTTTATATTCGTAAAAACTAACACACTAAAATTTCCCTTTGCCGTGTGGGCTGATAGCTCAGGAGTAGAAGCTCCAACTGATGCAAAATAGGTTGGGTTTTGATCCCAGCTTGAAGCAATCGGATGCCTAGTCACACTGATGACCTATGATACAGTGAAACAGGCTTGTATGTGAATTATATATCTATACAAATATAGATAACTATACTCGTTTCAAAAAACCCTTGAATCTTTGATTTGCCAATAATCAAATCAATCTCGAGGGGAAAAAAAGGTTTTAAAAAAAGAAAGAGCAACAAACATGAAAGTCTGTCAAAAAAAAAAAAAAT